TGATAAAGAGTTAAAACCCACCAACATGAAACGAATTACTTAAGAATTCTCCGGTTTCTTGTCGTTCAGAATAATCCTTCATCGACTGCGCCAAAATTTTAATATGTTATATTCGGTTCGTTCTTTATTTTTGTAAGTAATGAACAAGCACTTAAAACTATCACTAACAAAACTAATATTAATAGACAAGAACTTATTACAGCTAGACTAAAAATCAAATGAAACGACGCCAAGCGGTGTAGCTTGCCTATATTACTTTGGTCTTTCGTCAGTCAACTGTTTCGAACGAGCAACAATGGGAACTAGCAAACACTTGCAAATAAAATAAAAGAAGGAGTCTTTAGAAGCTTCGCTTCTAAAGAAGAACAATTCGAGTTCGTCGCCAGTCTTTTGTTTATAAAAATTTGAAAATGTGAATATTGAGTACGGGATCATAACAATATATATAAACCAACTACGTGCGTCAGAAATTGACGAATCAATTTTGTAAAAATAAAAATTTAAATTATTCGGTCCTTTGTCTATCCATTTAAAAAAAACTTATCGAATTCTTTAATTAATAATAATAATAATATTTATTTAATTAACATCCGGTTATTATTAAATTATCACGAAATAATAAATTCGTTATCTTACTTATCTATTCACTACTTAAAAAAGAAAAAATAATAATAATAATTTTTTTTTTCTGTTTTTCGGACAGTCGTTCACGTTAATATTCATACGATTGATTTCAAGGGTGAGGTTACGAATTCAAAGATGAAAAAAAGGTCAGAAAATTTTGTTGTTATCAGTGTCGTGATAACATCAGATTTATTTAAAAAAAAAGAAGCGAAAAATTTTAAATCGATTTAAGATGATATCGATGAGGAGGGATTACACCTGCCTAAAAAAAAATTTTTTTTTTTATTTTGCTACTCTCGGGCCGATGATTTGATTGATTTTATCAGAAAATTTTAATCCGGAAATTATATCAAAATCAGTCCACAGAGAGAGAGAGAGAGAGGCAGAGAGAAGGAAAAAGAAAATTTTCGAAATTTGTTGTGATTGGAAAAAAAAGACGTTAAAATTAAATTTTTTGTTTATTATAGGGAGGTGATTGACTAAAATGGTCAAATTTTTATTCGTTTGTAAAAAATTAAGTTTTTCATCATACTCCCCCCACCCTCCTCCTCCTCTCCGCCCCCCCTTTATTTCGTTAAATATTGTTTTTTTTTTTTTTTTTTAAATAAAACAACACTTATTTCGTAAGGTTTATTTTTAGATTTAAAACGACAGTTAAAAAATTAAAAAACTAATAGTTATGAGCAATGATTTAAATATTTTTCACTCACGCGTTCGTTCGCGATCCCATATTCAAACTCTATTTTTAAATTTCTTTTTTTAATTCATCGATTTTTATTGATAAATCGATTCAAACGTATCCAAAAAAAAATTTCTTTCTCTCTCACTCTCTCTCTCTCTCTGTCTCTCTCTCACTCTCTCTTTCTCTCTCTTTTTATTTTTAAAATTAAAATAATAAAATTCATATTATCATTTACGAAAAGTTTTCTCTTATTCTCGATACAAAATTTTTTTTGTTTTGTTTTTGTCGTTTGTGTTTGTTTTGTTGTTGCCTCTGTTTGTCTCGAAAAATAATTCATTTTGAATTGTTTAAACCTTTTAATATAAAAAGAGAAAAGAAAAAGAAAAATTTTCCCGAAAACACATGCGTGAGAATTTGATGATTTATATACGAGGAATAATAAATGCTATTCAACGATTATTATTATTATTATTATTATCCGTTTATGTTTTTGATAATGTTATTTTTTTAATTTAATTCCCAATATGAATTTATTTCCAAAAAAAATTAATAATAATAATAATTGAGAGATGTTTTTGTTTTATATACAAATAATAATAATGATTAAGAATTTATAAAACGAAATCGCGACGTTTATTATTATTATTATTATTATTATTATTATTGTTTTGTTGGAAAAAAAAGAAAATTTTTTCCTTATTCTAAATAATCCGTGTAAAAAAAATAATTAAACGGATGTAAAGAGAGAAAAAAATAACGATGATGTTATACGAACAACGATTTAAAAAAATTAATTCAACCGGAAATACTTGATCGATTTCCACGAGATTATTTTTATTATTTATGTATGTATATATATAGAAACGTAAAGAAAAATCGACGAATGAGATAAAAATTTTATTCGTTAAAAGATTACGTTTTGTATATTTTTTCGGGTCAAAAGAAGAAGAAAAGAAAAGAAAATTTTTCCAATCGTTTTACGCCATTTTTTTTTTTATTGGCGTTAAACGACAAAAAAAAAGGTGGATGAAAAGGGAAAAATTAATATAAATAAAATCACATCAAAAGAAATCGTGAGCAATCCGCACGCGTGTGTGGAAAATTTTTGCGACAAATAATACCACGTAGAAATGGTGGAAAAGGAAAAACAAGAGTAAGAAGAAAATCGCCATATCAAGGTGTATAATTTTCACAATCTTAATCATTATTATAAATTTTTCCCTTTTGAATGAATGAGTTCAAGTATTTTATATTATACGAAAATGATATATATAATATATATTTTTTTTTAAAGAAAAACGTGCCTTTTATCTTGTTATTAAAAAAAAATAAAGTCGGGGGGGGGGGTAGAAGGAAAGGTTTAAAAAAAAAAAAATGAAAATATTTTTCTAATAATATTCGATCGAATTACAAATAAAACAAAAAAGTTGAAAGAAAAAAAAAAATTATTTTTCTCAAAACTTGTTAAAAGCTTTTTAGTATTATTATTATTATTATTATTATTATTATTATTATTATTATTACCATTATTATTATATTTATTGATTTTGACCGTTTTTTTTTGTTTCTACTCGTCGAAATTCAATTAAGGGTTTTTTTTTTTTTTTGAAAACCTTGAAAACTTTTTTGTTTCTTTAAAAAAAAAAAAAAAAAAAAAAAACTTTTCTTTGTTTTATTATTATTATTATTATTATTATTATTTTACTTTTTGATCATCATTATTATATTTTTAAATAAATTCTAAAGAAAACTAAAACTACTACTACTAAACTTTTTAAGTTATGATCACGTTAATTAATTAATTATTTTTCTTTATTTTTGCAACTATTATTATTATTGTTTTCGATGAAGTAAACATCATCATTATTATTAATTATCACCGATGATGATGATGATGATATTGTTATTATGTTGTTGTTGTTTTTATTAAAAAGTTTTTGGTTGGTTTTATGAAAGATGTTAATAAATAAATTATGAAAAAATTTGCATGGATTAAAAAGAATCGTGGGAATAGAAAAAAAAAAAAAAAATTGTTCAACGGCTACATACGTTCTTAACTTATGCGGAAAAAATAAAAACAAATTTTAAATTTGGCGGTTTTTTTTTAAACAAGGCGGTGGAATCGTTACGTTCTTCTACTACTACCACTAATGAAAAATCTCGTTGGAAAATATTTATTTAATTTATGTTGTATATATAGATTACTGATAATGATATTGTATAAAGCGGGATAAAAATTCCCGATATCATTCCTTTTTTTTCATAACTTTTTTTCAAAACAACCATCTTCTCGTTTTTAATTCGATGAATGTTTTTCATCCGTTCAAAAGTTTTCTTTTTGTTTTTTTTATTTTCTTCTGTTTTAATAAAATGAACGAAAAAGAACGAAAGATGAATCGAGTTGGAAAACGATTCCGTGCTAATTAAAAATGTTACAATGCTCATAAAATGTAATTAAAAATAATAATGATGATAATGATGATGATGATGATGATATGTATGATAGTAAATTAAGCGAATCGGTTTAGGGTTATATTTAATTTTTTTCTTTTTTTTGTGCATTTACCGAATCCGTACGAATTTTTATTTTTATTTTTCCGGAAGGTTTTACACGTCGAAAATTAATTATTATTATTACTATTATTATTATTAATATCATTATTATTATTATTATTATTATTATTAATATCATTATTATTATTATTATTATTATTATTATTATTATTATTATTATTATTATTACCATCATTAATATTTTTTTAAAGAGGCGTAAATTCCTTACGCGTTTTTATTTAAAAAAAAAAAAAAGTTATGGGTGCGCCTTGCAATTGTGGTTGATTGCAATAAATGTTGTGCAATCAAGGAGAGAAAGAGAGAGAGAGAGAGCTTTTCGAATAAATTTTATACACACATGTATAAAAATAATAATAATAATAATAATAATAATAATAATAATAATAATAATAATAAAAGCTCGTGAAGGTTATTCGTTGTCGATAAAATGAATGTATTAATTTAAAAAAAAAACATAAATTCAATGAAAATTTTTTTTTTCATGTCTTGGAAATTTATTTATAGAATTTTTTTTTTATTAATTTTCCTGTTTCCCCCCACTTTTCAATTATTATTATTATTATTAAAAAAAAAAAACGGGAGGTACGGAAAGGGATACGAGAGATAATAATTTTTTTTTTGTTTTTCCGTTTAGGAATTTAGCCATAGGAATTGGAATACAAAATTTTCCAGAGGGTCTCGCAGTTAGTTTACCATTGAAAGCTGTCGGATTTTCCCTGTGGAAAAGTTTTTGGTGAGTTATCAATTTTTTTTTTTTTAAACGCGGAATTTGTTTTTGTTCAATAGGAAACGATTCGTCGGTATGTTTTTCTATAAAAAAACAACCTAATATTATTATTATTATTATTATTGAATGAATTAACAATTCGTGAACGAGGCGATCATTCAAAGCGCGCGCGTGAAAGGAGTTCAGAGAAAGTTTTTTTTAAAATCAAATCAAAAACAATAGAAAGCTTTCAAAATGGAAAAAAAAAGTAAATAACCATGCGAAAATCAAAGTAAGTTTAATGCATGTAACACTATTGTCACATATCCGGCAAGGATATTAATAAAGATAAACCGGAAGTATATAAATGACGTCACTTAAAGGAAATGACAAATGAATGCAGGACAAACTCTTACTTACACTCCGATTCAGTTATGGAAGTTTATGTGTGTGTGTGTATATATACATACAGAAATGTGCAAGGACGTGTTAACGAACTCAAACTCCGACAAAAAATTGACTCTCTCTCTCTCTCTCTCTCTCTCTTTATTGACTCCTTTTTTTTTTTTTTCTTTTTTTTTTGTATCTCATCCGGTCGTCGTGATGATGAAGTTGAAGATTCATTCTTTTATTTTCCCCGTCATTTATTATTATCTTGTCTCTCTCTCTCTCTCTCTCTCTCTCTCTTTTACTGCATATAAAAATTATTATTATTATTATTAAAGTTTTTTTAAACAAAATTATATTGTAAATAATAGCCTTTTATTGCGAGATTTGTTATTATTATTATTATTATCACGGAATAAAATTATTTGTTGGCCGTCGTAAATAAAAAAAAAAAAATTAGAAAATTTAAAAAGGGTCAACACTTGCTAACTGGGACACACTTTACATGAAGTAATTTTTTAACTATTTGACTTTCGGTGTAATAATAATAATAATAATAATAATAATAATAATAATAATAATAATAATAATAATAATGATAATAATAATAATAATAATAATAATAATGATAATAATAATAATAATAATAGTAATAAGGGGTTGTTTGTAAACCTTTTAAATTTCGGAATGTAAATTTAAATAAGAAGTAATACCTTATTTTCTTATTATTATTAATATTAATATTTTTTTTTTAATTATGACCGCATTTCAGGTATGGTCAACTTAGCGGAATGGTTGAACCTATTTTTGGAATTTTAGGAGCAGTGGCGGTGTCATTAGCAAGACCCTTATTACCATATGCTTTGGCCTTTGCAGCTGGCGCAATGATTTACGTCGTAGTCGATGATATTATACCGGAAGCAAATTCTGGGTATGAATTTATTATTTATAATTTTTTTTTTAACGAACGTAAAATGTTTAAAAAATTTACGCACGCTTTGTTTACCGATCGACAAAAAATTTCGAAAAGGAAACTATAGGTAGTAAAGGGGAAAAAGTTTATAAACTATTTTCTTCACGGGGGGTACAATGTACATGAATACAAAAACAATGAAGGGGGAAGGGGGAGAAACCAAAGAAAAATTCATTTCAAATCGGATTAAATCGCTCACGTAATTATTATTAAATTTTTTTTTTTTTAGGGTTTTTTAATAACAATGCTAATTACTTAATAGTTTATCTCTCTCTCTCTCTCTCTCTCTCTCTGTCTTCCTGTTTTTCTATCTTTTCTTCTTTTTAATTTGCTATAATATTATAAATAATTATTTTATCAGCGTGATATTGAATTTTTTGCTATCGTCTAGGGGAAAACAGGGAAGGAGGGAGGAGGGAAATTTTTTTGTCAGTGTGGAGAGTCTGCGTGGAATTTTTTATTTTTTTTCTCAATTGTTGGTTGATACCCAGATCGTTTTATTTTGCTCTTTGACCGACCACTACGTAATAACAAAAGTCTCCATGTTTTTTTTTTTTTTTGTCTGTTTGTCGTATTCGAAAAATTAAAGGCGACGGTTTGAAGCGTGTTTGTTGCGAGTTTGTTGTGTGTCGTCGCCCGCATCGTCCCGTATAAAAAGTAAAAATATATCGAAAAGGATTTATTGCCGCTTATTAAAATCAAATTTTTTTACTTATCACACTTAAAGTTGGGGAAATAAATTTTTTTTTAAATAAACGTGGAAGGAGAAAAAAAAGGGAAAAAGGACGAGAGGAAAAAATTATTATTATTATTTTTAATTGAAGATTGATGCGTTTAAAAAAAAAAAAAAAAAAAACGTTTTTGTTTTCTTTTATTCGTTTCCGTTAGATTTTTTATTTTTTTTTGGGGGGGTGGGGAAGAGGGGAGGGGGGAGTAAACCGTTTTACACGTTTTATAAAAGAATGAAAATTATTAATTCGTATAAAAAATGATGAGTAGTGGTAGTATTGAAATATTTTCGTATTGAAAATAACTTTAACTGTACGTCACGATCGAAAAAATAGTATTTGTTTTCCGTTTTTCTTTTTTTTTTTTTGAAAATTATACGTACAGTTAATTAATAATTGATAATAATTTACCGAAGGGCTTGTAAATAATAAGAAACGTGACCAGGTTATCGCATCACCAAATCCATAAAAAAAAAATTTTTTTCTTAAACGGGTTAGCCTCAAGGTGGTCGAATTCCGAATGTAAAAAAAAAAACATGAATGAAAATCTCACGGTGTAAAATATTTAAAAAAAAAAAAAATCGCACCGAAAATTCTTTTATAAATTTTTTTATAAACATTATAAAAAAAAAAAAAACAAAACTCGTTTGATGGTAATAATAAAATAAAAAAAAAACCACCGCAGCGAAAAAGTCAAAAAATAAAAAATAAAAAATGGCCGATCGGATGTTATTTGATTTTTTTTTTTTTCTTTACAATAATTGAAATAAATTATTTACGCCGTTTTAAACCGCGAAATGAGGGGAAGGAGGGGTGGTGGGTGGTGAATGGGAGGAAATTTAATTTTCAAAACGGAAATTCCAATACGTAAAAAAAATTTAAATGGAAAGAGAGAAGAAGGAAAAGAAAAGAGGAGAAGAGAAGGCGTAACGTGGAAAATTTTTGGTAAAAATTACAATGATAAAAAAATTGTAAACTTTATTATTATTATTATTATTAATTTTGCAAACCAGATGTGGATTAAATATCGAAGAAGGAGGGGGGAAGGAAGGAAAAAAATCGATTTTCTCGTTTGTTTGTTTGTTTGTTGTTGTTGTTGGTCTTAAATTTTTTTTTCCACTTAAAAACTCTGGAGGAAAATTCTGATAATACTTTGGAGATTTATTATCATTATTTTGGAATTTTTTTTTTTTTTTTGAAAATTATTACGGTACGCTCCTCGATTATTCTTCATTTAAAATTGTGCGTGTGCGTGTGCGTGTGCGCGGGGGATAATAATATATAATGATGAAATCGTGATATTCATATTATTTTAATAATAATATAAGTTTTTCCGCCATTTTTTTTTTTTCATATTTTTTTCCGGCTCATTTTTTTTTTTCATATTTTTTTTTCGGCTCATTTTTTTTTTTGGGTTGAAGGGTGATGGTGGTGGTGGTAGGGGATGAGGGGGAGGGGAAAAAGGACGACGACGATGACGTCGACCGTAGAATTTTTGTCATTCGATTTTTATTGAAGAAAATAAGAGAAAAATTACCTTTAATTATTAGGTAAGGTTACATCTGATAAATTTTTTTCCTCCTAATGGGAGATAGTTAAAGGGATTTTTTATTTAAACTTTTAGCCTTATTCGTCTGCCGATTATTATTATTATTATTATTATTATTATTATTATCATTATCATTTGTTTTTATCTTGCAAATTGTAGTTACCGTAGTAAAGAGGAGAAAAAAAATAAATAAATAAATAAAATAACGTGGGGAATTAATGAGCGGTTGGTGAGCTTAATCCACCGTAACGTAAGAAGAAGAAGGTATTTTCGTCATGTTGTAAAAATGATAATAATAATTATAATGAACAATAAAATAAATCTTGCGTAGGCATTTAATTATTTAAAATTTTATTTATTTACTCATTATTATTACTATTATTATTATTATTATTTTCGTCGCGTGTGTGACGTGGATTTAAGAATAATATAAACGTTTATGGGTTTTTTTTTCCGTTCGTTCGATTAATCGATCGATGTTTCTCGCAATTCTCGATGTCAAGGAAAAAACATCCCTCGATTAAAAAAAAAAAATTTTTCATAACAATAATAATAATAATAATAGTTTGGATGGAAAACGTAACGAAAAAAAATTTTTTTTTAAATTTAATTTTACACCTGCACAATTAAACGATTCATTAATTTCCCCCTCCCCCTTTTCTTTTTTTTTTTTTAATATAATTATTTTGAATATATAAATAAAATCAATTCTATGAATAATTTATATTATTATTATTATTATCATTTGAATGAATGCATATTAATTGCATGACCGTATTCGTATAGAAAAACTACCGTATACACACACAAAAAAAAAGTGAAAATTCCGTCACTTCGACGAGGCGGGTAGTGTAATAAAATTATTATTATTATTATTATTATTATTATTATTTTACGCGAAAAAAAAAAAATTCATTAATTATGTATTAGTTAAATATTATTATTACTATTTTTTTTTTTTTGCATTAAATCAAAAAAACATTCGAGTTTCCTGTTTTAACGTTTAATTAATACGATGGGGAGGAAAATTTTTTTTTTTTTAATAATAAGGATAATTATATTAATTAATAAAATTTTTTTTTTTTTTTGATTATAAATTAGTGAAAATGATCGCATAAAATGGAAAGAAAAAAAAAAAAGTTATTAAATTGATTATCTTAATGAAAAAAAGGAAAAAAAAAATTATTTATAAGTAATCACGACGGTTGTTGTTGTTGTTGGTTGTTACTTTCAAGGTTGTATGAATGCACCGAGACAATTAATCCCTGGAACAACAACAACAACGAAATTGTATTGTTGAAAAAGTTTTTTTTTCCTTTTTCTATCATATTCGATGGAAATTTCATCACATTCGGTGATTGATTAAATACTTAAAACGGTTTTCTATTGCGAAACGTTTATTATTATTATTATTTTGTCATTCTCGAACGCGAAAAAAAAATTTTAAATGTTTGTTGGAGTTTGTTAAGAATTTTCCGAAATAATTGTACGAAAATCGGTTGTTGTTTCCTGTCGAAAAATGTCGGACGTTTTACTTCCTGTTCGGTTTCTTCTTTTAAGTCGTTCAGAATTTTTTCTCGAATTTTCTTTTAATGAATGTGTCATGGCTCCCAGTGTGTTCCAAAGATGACCGGGTTAGTTTTCCTCTTTACTCCCCACATCCCCGCTATTTCTCTTTTCAAATTTCTGTATTATTTCGATTATTATTATTACGCGTTAATGTGTTTGCATACGCGTGAAATTTTATAAATTCGAAAAATCGATTCTAACGAAATAAATAAATAAAATGAGGGGGAGGGGTGATGGGGGAGAAGAAGAGGAGGTAAAAATTATTGTAAAGTAAAAGGTGAAGGAATACTATGGGTTGGAATTTTCCAAGGTACTACTTTTTTTTTTTTTTTAAATAAAAAGTTGCGTCTCTACTTTTTTTTTTTTTTTTGGTTTCGAGAAAGAAAAAGACGGCTTTCGGTGGTTATTAAAAGTGAGTAAAAAAAAAAAAAAAAAAAAAATGAGGACATTCGTGCGAAACCGGGGTGATCGATGGTAATAATAATAATAATAATAATAATAATAATAATAATAATAATAATAATAATAATAATAATATTGATCTTGAGATAATCCAGGATTTATTTTATTTTTTTTTGTTAGTTCGAAAATGTTTGAAACTAATATCAAATACATATAAATATTTTTTTTTTCAAATAATAATTTAAATACTTTAAAAGGGGGAGGGTGGGTTGCGTATGAGTGCGCGTGCGTGTGAATGTGAATCGGGAACAATGGAAGGATTTTAATCCCTTGGAAAATTCTAAAAAATTTCAAAAACAAAAAAAAAAAATGGGGCGGTAAATTTAGTTTGATTCGAAACGTTTTCTTATTATTCGAATGAAAAACATTAATTAGTTGCGTGTAAATATGTATGTGCGTATGCGTGTGTGCGTGTGCGTGTGCGAGTGTATTAAGTAGTAGGAAGTAGTAGAACAAGATTAACTGACCTATCGTTTAGATGATAAAGTAATTTGCAATTTTTTTTTTTTTTTTTACTTTTAATTGTAAATGCAAGCCGGTGCAAGTGTTATTTTATTTAAAAAAATAACAGTAACGAAATTACGTAAAACTTTTTTTGGTTTTCGCGGTTTTTCATTTTTTTTTTTTTTTTGTTTAAACCGACGACACCACTTACTGTTGCTTACGTAATCGTATGAATGTGAATGAATGACTGACTGACGTCATAAAAAATTTTCTTTTGCGCGAAAATGATGTGAAAAATGACGTTTTTTTTTCCTCCTCCCATACCGAATCGACTTTCATCGATAAATTCTATTATTATTATCATTAAGTTTTTAAAAATTCGCGTTCTTCGCTTTAAAGAATGTGCGTAAAAGAAAAAAACCGTTATAAATAAATCCCCCCCCCAAAAAAAAAAAAAATTAATTAATTTAGAAAAAGTGACTAAGAGTCTGACGATTCGCAGGTTATTTAAAAAAATTTTGCCACATCGAAAAAAAAAAATTCGAATTAAATTTAATTAAATATAATAGAGTGAAACAGATAGAGTGAGAGAGAAAAGAATTTTGTTTTTTGCCATCCCTGAATATTCCGATGAGTGCC